ATATAAGTAAAGGGAAACATTACGATATTTGAAATATAATCTTACCTAGAGACGCAGCATGACAGCAGAGGAGTAATATGAACAGATTCTTCATCTTATTTTGCATTTTAAAATTTGCTAAATCCAGAAAAACAACTGAGACTTCATGAGCGACTTGTCCAAGTTTATTTTTTGATGGGCTGGTCCAAAGTTTTCTGAGTCATAAAGAATTAAATATTAACCAGCATATACTTTGAATACAGTAAATTACTGTGTTTGGGCCATGGGTCATGTTCTGATATCAGTTGTTCACATCTCTTGTTTAACAGCAACTGGAACAAAAGGTCCTAATTTCCTGAATCATTTCTGAACAGCAGCCTCTGAAGAACCTCTACTAAAACGACTTTCTACAAATTCTTTAATATTATGAATTAGAAAAAGGTGCTTAGAGTGATTATGGGCAAAAAAAAAAAAAAACCTCCTCACCTCATTATGAGAAATAAAAAAAACAATCTTTTCAATTAAAGGGATTGTGTGTTGGCACTTCAACAGCTTAAAAATATTAAAGAGAAAATATAGAATGAAAATTAACCTCTTAAGCCCCAAGCCTACTTGATCGCCTACCTTTTGCCCCTATATCAGGGGGTGTTAGGGCTTAAGAGGTTAAGAACTGTACAAAAAAATAAATAAAATTAAGTCCATAATTTTCTAATATTACTGTACTCATTTGAAAACTAATGTTTATAGATGCCGCTTGGTGAGGTTCATTTATCTGTGATGGAAATGAAAAAGCAGAGACGAAAAAGTTTTACAACACAATTATTAATTGAAGTTCAAAAATGAGAAACTACAGGAAGAACTTAAAGAGAAAAGGAATTTGAGGAACAAGCAATTAGTCAATTAGACTCCAATAAACAACATAGAAGAGCAGAGTCCCTACAATGATAGAAAGCAGAACGGGATCTGTGATACCAGTCTATGCACTGGTGATGGGGAAGATGAAGCAGGTGGAGGCCTGGATAAGGCGCTCTGAGTGACCATGATGAAGTAGAGGGGAGAAGGTGAATCGCATGAGATGAGAATCTGGCAGGTGAAATGTTGATAGAAGAAAACTGAGATTTAGAGGCTGATTGGCTCACCTAAGGCAGCAAGAAAATGATTGGACTACGGTAGTGA